TATAACCATGTTGTATGGAAAAAATGTTAAAAAATTATCTCTTAAAGTATTATTGTTCGTGTAATTACATTTAAAAGGACTTTAGGAATCACTTAAACACCATTTCATACAGGTAGTTAGTTTCTTTCTTTTTCTTTTAAAGTAATTATCGTTATTTTTATGAAAAAAAAAACTTTCAGGCTGAAGCCCCCCAAAATTAAATCCTGGATCCGCTATTGGTTCATATGTTCCAGCCCAAATTCGAAATTGATAAAGTTGCAGATATTCATTTTTGGAGGCCACTAGTAACTTGCCCCAGATCTGCTTCTTATTTTGGAGGACGACATCTTATCAGTGTCGTAGCAAGACCTCAGGGTTTGCCGGTCAATGGCAGCCATCATCTTATAAAATGGCCAAGCAAGTTTTTTCTCTCGCATTTCAGGATGAATTTCCTCTCTTATTTAAATTATTGCAACCTTGATCGCTCATAATGCTACAATCCTTTGCAATTAACTTTCAAAATATATTTGAAAAGTATTCATGAATACATTTTTCTTGACAAGGCTGGAACGTCAACATGCCGTATGAGTGTGTTAATAAAATCTGAAATATTTTTTAATAAATAATTAATGTAATTTTTAAACACGATTTTCTTCAAATTCAGAAGTTTTAAAAATAAATAATAAAAATAATTTTTACAGCAATAGGTTTATCATCTTCAATTTACAATTATTTTATTCATTCATATCCATCGATTTATAATACAATTTCTTAGCATGCTTAAGTAGATAGGCTAACAAGTGGAGAGGGTAGAAAAACAGAGGTGAATGCTTCCCCATAATAAAAATAGAGAAGTGGCGAGAATATCGTTTCGCACCCAATATTTTGAAGAATTAAAATAAAATAAAAATCAATAACGATTAATCTACATGAATAAAAAAAAATATGTAAATTAAAATCGATTAAGAAAAGTCGATTAGATGGCTGAGCTAAGGCCAAGAAGTTGGTATTATTGAAATTTTAGTTTAAATTTAAAGATAATATCAGCACTCTTGCTCAATCTCCACTGGGTTTAGCCCTAGTGACGCGGTTGAGAGAGGAGTGCAGGGCACTCCTGGAATCATACTTTTCCCTCCACAGTTGGAGGGACAAGTCTGGTTTGGAGTTCTCTCGCCAAATTGTAAATATTGTATATATGTGTGTATGTGTTCTTTTTATTTATTTATTTTTAGGTTATTTTATTCTTATTTATTGTATATATATTATTTTTCTGTATAATTTATTTTATTTATTGTACATAGAGTGTGAATGTGATCTGTGAACTCTATTATAAATGTCCTAGAGACAGATTCTAATATTTTTGAATAAATAAGTTTAAAAAAAAGAAAGATAATATCGCGACTATTAGAGCAAAATATTGTATGGAAATTCTTTACATGTTTATTCTCTTTGCGCTAAAGATGAAATTTTGTATTGGGTTGGCAAATAAGTCCTTTCGGTTTTTCTATTTATTTTTATATCACTATGATACACTTCTTATCTGATGATTTAATCTCTAAGGTGGATTGTTAGATGGAAAATAGAAAACGCATATGAGTCGCGTTAATATCATTAATATCATAGGACATCTGTCATTTTTAAAAGTTGAGAAAACATTTTTTTGGAACATTAATTAAGCTTCAATTTAAACTAATTCTAATGATTTTTTATTTTCAAATTCAACTTGAATATACTTAAATAAAATCATCAGAAACAGCTTGAATTGAACCAAATAACAAAAATGGACTATTTATCGGCTTTCTGAAAATGACAGAGATCCATCTTTGATACGAAGCCACTCATTATTTTCATGTTTAATTTTATTATTAATATTTTTTAAATTTAACGTTCAACTTTATTTGTTTATTAAATAAAAATGCAAAATGTTCGTTTGTTCAAAATCTTAAATCTCGGAAAGTTCTTCATCGATTGTCTTGAAATTTTGGCCTAAAGCTGCATTCAAATAACGCGTGGTTTTATGTACCTACTGTCATAAAATGTAAGGTAAAACTATGTATATCTATTAAAAACGCACTATCAGTTGGATGTGAAAGCAACACATGCTGTTCAAAATATTTTAAGACACCTCTTCAATGTTAAATATTTTCAAATATAGAACTTTGCAATGCATTGAAATTGTGCTTTATCGCTTACCATAATGTTCGTTTCATGTGCATTAGAGCTGCCTTCCATCTTCCTCAAAAGATTTCGCATACCACTCCTAAGATATTTGATTGCCCGCTTTTTCTTAACAGCAACTTCATTAAATATAGAGTTATAAAAACTGTAGTGAAAAATAAACCTTACTAGTAAAAAAAACCTTACGGCAAATGGCAGCCTTATTCTAATGTAATGTTAATGAAAATAATTTATTGAAAAATAATATAAGCTAAAATGGATGAAAAACTGAAGACTAAAAGAAATCAAGAACATAAACGGTGATAATTATTACTCAAGGGTTTAATATTTTAAATAATAACATATCAAATATTTGAGATGTATCATAATACTTCCCGAATATATTGGGAGAAAATATGCATTTGAATTTAAAGAGGGGATAATAGTATTGACCTACATAAAGAGAATCATATCACTTCTTCAAATGATAATGTCAATTACTTTCAGTAATTATAAAATTTTCGATTAATCAAAAACCAAAAAAATCTGGTGTGTCCACTCACACGACTTTTCTACCTATTTCAGAAAAGTTTTTTTATCTTTACATATGTTCATCAAGAATCGAAAATAAATTGAATTAATTCATTTTCCTGAAAATTGAACAAAGAAAAGATTTGAGTACGATTTATTTGTTAAACTAAAGCAATGTAAACCGGCTTAAGGTAGCTCAGTGTAGAAATTTCAATACACTCTAATATTGCTGATCAAAAACATTTTGCCATAGTCTAATTTTGTCAAACAATAATTTCTGTTAAAAGTAGAGAAAATAGTGAAGCTTGTGTGATGCGGGGAAGTTTCTTACCGCATATGGAACCACAAATCGGAAATTTGACTCGATCGCAATACTTTCTTTACTTAGTATAGGTAGGAAAGTAAAAAAAGGGAGGATGGCCATTTCCGAAGAAACAGCAGTAAATGTTTAAAGCTCTATATCTCTGCAACGAATCGTCCACTTTCGATGATTTTATTTTTACTTTTAGGGAATTCACGAAGCTTTAAAATAAATATGGGTTTTATCAAATTTTCTGAGCAAAACCTTATAAAACCTTCACGTAAAAATGGAAGGATTTATAACACATGAATGGGTTTTATATCATGAATGGATTTTAAAACACGTGAATCGATTTTATAACACATGAATCGATTTCATAACACGTGAATGGATTTCATAACACGTGAATGAATTTTATAACACATGAATGGATTTTATAACACATGAATGGATTTTAAAACACGCAATATAAAACAGCTTAAGAAATAAATTTAGTGTTTTGAATAAGGAGTAATGTAAATAATCAGCTTCCTTGTTGATTTAAAGGTTCCAGTTTTTTCTAGATTGAAGAGCAATGCCCTCTATTGACAACTGTATGAACAATGTTTCCAAAAGAAAATTGTTAAATGTCTATCATTGTTGTTTCTATAAGTGCTCTTGAAATAAGTTTGTTTCATACCTTCCTACTAACAGTTTGGCTAAGATTAAGTTGAACATTTATCTTATCTTATCTTTTCAGTAAAATAAAAATAATAGAATTTTTCTGAGGTATGTCTATTAATGGTACCGACCCCCTGTCAATTAATAGAACAATTGAACTTCGTGGAATCCATCACTAGTCAAAAATGGTGTTTTTTTTTTTTTAATGGAGATTATATCTGCATAACTGAATATTTTTTAATTCACTGAATATTAATCGAATAACAAAAAAGCTTCAGAATAACAAAAAAGTACAAAATTAAAATGTTATATCTGGCCAAATAAAAACAAACATAAAAAGTAAAGATAAAGATAAATCAGTAAAAAAATATTAGTTATACATACTATATACAAAATAAAAAAAAAAAATCTATATAAAAAACTCTTAAAATCTTGCCAAGACACTTAAAACTATGTACAATGGTAAAATATAAATATACACTATTAGAAAAAATGAAAAATACAGAAAAAAATAAATGTAAATTCTTCTTAGCAGTAAACTGAATGTTTCTGTTGAAAAAAAAAAAATTAATTCGAATCTATAATAAGTATTTAAGTTATGAGCTATATGTGAATACATTATTATGAATAATATGTAATTTTACATAAAAGGTTAGCTGGTATCTGACTGTTGTTGGGACAGGAATTGGAATAGGAGGGTTTTGAATGTAGATAGGGATGAAGAATGACGAATTTTGACAGGAAGGGAATTCCAAAAATTAACAGAGCGAGCAATAAGGGAGTTTCGGAACGAGGCAGATCTGTGAGAAGGAATGTAAAGGTCGAAAGGTCGAGATCTTGTGGAAAGGGAGTGGACTGAGGACTTGAATTGGAGAAGGTTGTAGACGTAGGAAGGACGATGATTGTTGATGATATGATAGAGGAATGTACCAAGGAAATATTGCCTTCGAATGGGGGGAGGGGGAGGGAGGAGAAGAGCCCCTCTATCTAACTCAGTGTAGTGGTGAGAGACATGGTAATATATACATATATAGATTCAAGTTATAAAGATATTAGTTGGCTAATAATTCACACAATATATTGATCAGTGAACAAATGACAAAATAATAAGGTGATAAAATAATGCGACGTACCATATAAGATGGTGGTTCTTATTTTCTATGTAATTATAATCCAACATAGAAAAGGAATCGAATTGAAAAGTTCAAGTGTTCACATTAAATCATGTTTATAAATTTAAATAATCCGTATATTTGCTAATATTAGTATGATTTCAATATATTTAACAATATTTCAATATTGCAACAATATATTTGAGAATATTTCTGATTTATTTTATTTAATTAACTAATTCACGTTTACCCTTTTCTAGCTGGAGGGTTGAAGGGATGCAAACTATCTTCTAAGGACTTCGCCAAGTGCCTGGCTCAGGAAGTGAACCGTTCTCTGAAAGTTTTTAAAGGGGGTAAGTATCATATCTAGAAATTTAAGAAAAGATTGGTTATGGTGCTCAGTAAAAAAAAAAATGAAAAAAATAAAGTTCAGGCCTTCATCATGGCTATGAAAAATGCAGATAACAATAGATATGAGAAACTATTAACATTAAGAGGATATAATAATGTGTAGCTGAAAGGTATAGTCTAAAAAATGTAGGTAGAATAAACTTTTATAAAATAAAATAAAGTATCTAGAATAATAAAATTTAAGTAAAATACGTTTATTTTACTTTAAATTCATCCTACATACATTTTTTAGACTATACCTTTCACCTACTTATTATTATTTCCTTTTAATGTTAATAGTTTCTCATACCTATTGTTATCTGCATTTTTCATAACAATGATGAAGGCCTGAAAATTGGGCTGTCGGTAAAAATAAATTTAATTTATTTATTTTTAAATTTGTTTGACTGAATACCTCAACCAATTATTCACTACAGTCAACCATCAATCCACAATCATATTTAGAAATATAATTAAGAATACCCATTTTGTAGAGACTGGGTGTGCCCCAGGAGGGTCTCCCTACCACCAGATCGCCCCACAGCCAATGAAACAGAATAAATATTTTTTCTGCCATGTGCCGGGATTCAGACCTGGGATCTCGAGCATTTGAAGTTAGTACCCTACCACTGAGCTACCCCTCTCCCCTTAGAGAAATATTGAATCAAATGAAATTCAAATTTTGAGAAATAAATTTAATTCTTTTCAGAGGGAGTGAGAGAGAGATAACGTCTTTGCCTGGGGGCACCAAATGCCTAAGGCAGGCACTGGACTCTATGACCAGTTTCTTATATAATCTTTTCCTGTGGTAGCCAGCATCCAGTTCTCGATATATATCTAAAAGTTCTAGGTTACTCCTTCTCTTCTCCATTCATTGCCTACTTCCTTAATTTATGATATTGTAGTAAGAACTGTTCTTAAAAAAAATTGAAGCTCTTTATTAATATATATATATATATATATATAGTATATATATATATATATATATATATATATATATATATTATTTTGTTTTGTTTTCTGGAGATGTGGTATTGATGATGGTATTGGTATTGATGGATTGGCCAACCAAAATAAATATATCCTTAATCTTCTGTTAGACTGGATTGTCAAGTGTTACAATCGAACCGAGGGAAGTAAACCCTGCAACTTTTTCAAACTTTTTCCTTCAAGGGTGCATTCCCCAAACACCATATAATTATTTTTTGAACCATTCACTTCAAATCATGGTCGCTTCATTGGTTCTGCCAAGGCTAAGAATGCTTTTTTTGACTGATATTGTTGATCAGTCACTGCTGTCGGTGACTGATCAATAATATCTATGTCATTGGGATAAGTTGGCAGAGGTGGTTGTATATTGTTCTTCTTTTCTGAAAGCCAGCCTTTCTTCCATCTTCTTCCAAAGCTAAGTTGAAAAGTAAATAATCCTTGCTTTTCCCTTCTTTTTGTCTTCCTAATGATGATATTGTAGCCACTGTAAAAAGGAGCTGGCTCAGATGGCTAGGCCATGTAGAGAGAATGGAGGAAAATAGATTGCCTAGAAAATTTCTCTATAACCGCCCAGGAGGAGCACGTCTTAGGGGAAGACCCACCCGGCTGCGGTGGATCAACGACGTGGAGGAGGACCTCAGCTGCTTGGGTGTCAGATGATGGAGAAGAATAGTTAACGATAGGGAAGCCTGGCGAAGCTTGTTTCTGAAGCCCAGGTCCATTAAGGACAGTAGAACAAATTAATAGTAAATACATTTTTTCTTCCTTCTTCTTCTGCCTTTACCTGTACTGCATAGCATTCAGAAGAGGTCTTATCACTGATTTCTATTGTACACTGCATGTTGTTCATTGTAAGCTGCTTTAAAGCCAGTAAAAAGGATTTAGATTTTGATATTATGTACCAGACATAAAGAACACCATGTAAAATTTTTGTATTTGTTTTTTTAGTTACTAAATTATTAATAAAAAATGGACATGGAGTCCTTTGCCTCTGTGACACAGAATTATATTCATGACCTCTCTAATGATTGTATTAATGGATAATTTTTTCAGGCAACAAGAAGTTAGGAATTAGCCCAATCGATCCCTTCAAGTTCCAGAAACTCTCCATCGACCAAGGCACTGGGCCAGTCGCTATCAAACTGGACTTTAAAAATCTAAACCTTGATGGAGTCTCCAACACAAAAGTACTTGATGCGAAGTAAGTTCTTATATTTAAAGTAAATTATCTTATATTTAATGTGAAGAGCATTTTCTGTAATGAAAAATAATTTTTGTTCAATTTTTATTGAATTTTTCTTATCTTTTAATTAAAATTTTTGGATTGTATTCTGAACAAGCCCAAGGAAAACATCATTTAGAAAACTAAGCTTTATATGGACATTTTCCTGAACTAACTGATAATGCCATCGATGAAATACACCAACTGATTGAATCCATCTTTTTTATAGTTCAGAAACATTAAAAAATAAAACACTACTTGAAGGTTACAAATATATGAAAAAAAAATATAAAATACCAACTTACTGAACCGCTAAGACATAAATAACTATAGATAGATTTAATATAAATATGAAAAGCAAATTCAAAATAACAACCCTGATGTTATAATGAGATTATTCATCGTAATTCATTACTTTATCCATAGATTGAATAACTGCTGAACAGTCTGTGATTAACGGAACTCATAAATCAATGAATAAAGGAACATACTGAATTCCATCAATGAGTTTAGGGTTGTATCTCACAATAAGATTGTTCTTACAGACTTTCTCAGAGTGGTTGTCCTTTTAGCATTTAATTAAAATATATATACTTTAGGTTATTAAATATGTAAAACAGTTTTTAATTTATTTATAGCCAACTAGACAGTGATTAACATAGTAATGTAAGCATGATGTCAAACTAATTAATAATTAATGAGATCTAAATAAATATAAAATAGTAAAATATAATTCTATAATAATAGAAAAGAATAAAGTAAAATAATGCAATTAATACTAAAACTTGAACTTATGGATTGCAAAGTCTAAAATAGAATAATTCAGAAACATAAAAGTTGAGCTAGTAGTCAACATTTTTCGGAAATGATTTTTATTTAAATTATTTATTTGGTTGCCTCTACCTTCACAGAGCATTGGCAAAATTACAAAAAATGATGTTCCATTTTAAAAAAAACTTTTTTTAATCCATTAGTTTTGGTAAAGCATCTGCAGTGTTATCTAGTATCTCTTTAAGGATTGATTTTTCTCTGATTATTCTGTATGTTGCTGCGAACGACTGAAAATTTCAGGCATTCAGCCTGTATGTGTTATGAAATTCTGATTATGTGGCAATATTTAATATTAAAAATTTGATTTTTTTCATGCTAATTTCACAGTTTGGCCCAATAAAAGTTAAAACCCGAGTTAAAAAGTTCTTGAAAATAATGAAAAATTTTATGAGACTTATTATGATGAGGCTGACATCAGGTCGTCGACAGATGTACAATTTGAGTGGTTACTTACGGATGCCAAGCTTGGTCATTGACAAAAGCTCTAAAGAGGAAGATCCAGGTGTGGCAGAATGACATCCAAAGATGTATTATGAATATGAGGAAAAAGGACAGAGTAAGAAATGACAGGATCAAAAAAGAAACAGGGCTCACAGTTACTTTTAGACAGACACAAGTTAGCAAATGAAAATGCGTTGGGTATCTCCTGCGGAGATAAGATAATAGATGGACAAGAATGGTTACATACTGGACTCCAGATGATATGAAAAGAAGTAGAAGAGCAACGCGTTTAAGCAGTTGGCAGGACCTCTCTGGTAGGGAGCTGGTAGAGACAGGGATATTTGAAAGGAGAAGTGGACGGAACTCGCATCCTGATAGGGCTAGTCACCCCGGGAAGCGCTAACTATTAATCCCATAAGGGAAGGCCTATGTAAGGGAAAAAGAAGGAAAAATAATCAATTTATTAATTTCTTTTCACACTTAAATAATATACTTATTTAAATATATTATGAAGAGAAGAATAGTTGGGGTGGTCAGTCAAAAAGGAAGGCAAAAATAAACAATAATATTTGTATTATTAATAATAAAAATAATATTTTATTAATAATATTTTTCAACTATTCTTCTCTTCATTATCCACAACAGTCAACCATTTACCAATTATAAATGTATAATGAATTACTTTTTGTATAAATAAAGCCTGTACCATTTCATGCTAAATTCACTATTTGGCCCACTGTGTAAAAGTTAAAAATTTCATGAATATAATGAGATTTTATGAGATTTATTGTGATAATTTCACTGCAATAATAAAACTAAGAAGATAACTCTAAGCCTGGTCCTTTAATGATAATATTATACCCAAAAATCTGTTTGTTGAAATTCAACATATGGAAGAAGTTGACTTTGAATATGGAGAATTGTGTAGAAATATTCTAATGGCATTAAATAATAGTAATTTCTTTCTTTCTCATAATTTTCTGTCTAAATTTTGTTGGAAGTTACACGTTATCATATCATATTCTTACAAGTTAACGTTTCAGGAATCACTCACAAAGGAAACAAAACAATCATCTGCTTTTATTCTTATGAATTGTAATAAAATACCACAAGCAGTTCTGTTGTTGAGAAAACATTCCTGAAATGTCAATATACAAGAATATGTGACAAATATAATAATAATGTATCACAAAGAAAGGTTTCTTTGCCAAACTCACAATTAAATTGATAATTTAAGTCAACTTCTCGCTATGAGTCTTATGTAATATTGAATTTATGTTGGATTCATTATTGCTTAATTTTACTTATATTTTGAAATTAATGATATTTTGTCCCTTTAGAACAAATTATAAGCACAGAATACATGTCTGTGTGGTCATAAATAAATTAAATATTTACAATAATAGATAATTAAAAGTAAAAATAAAGAAGAACGGAGAAAAAAAGAAAAGAAAAGCATACATATATATAAGATAAACAACCACTGATAATATATTTAATCTCATTAATACCCTAACTTTGAATTTAAGTATTAAAAGGAGGAAAGTCTATTTTTTGTAGATTTTTCATCAACATTGGACAATGTGGACAGAAACACACTTTTTTATAAATAATAGCATTGTATGATGATACTGAAGGCTCAATATGGATAGGTAATGCATTAACGAACAGCTTTAAAACAGAGAGAGGACTAAAATAGGGATGTATTATGAGTTTTCCATTTTTGTTTTCCTGCTATATCAATGATTTAGAGAATTGTTTGGGGAGTGGATTATCTATTAATAACAAAAGAATTGAAATGCTGGCATATGCAGATGATATTGTAATTTTGGCCACAAGCCCTATTGTACTTCAAGAGATGATAAATAATTTGGAAATAATTGTAGAACATGGAATTTAAATATAAATTTAAATAAATCTAAAATTATGATATTTAGAAAAGGAGGAAAACTGGCAAAAAATGAATATTGGAAATTTAATATACAAACTATAGAAATAGTAAATTGTTATAAGTATTTAGGGATATTATTAACGCCAAATTTATCAATGAGTAAGCATTTTCATCAAAGAGTCTCTAAAATAATGATCAGTTCTAATGTATTATGGAAGAAACTATTTACTTTTATAAAATAAATTTGAATACACAACTTAAAGTTTTCAAAGCTACAGTTAGATCAATTATAGGTTATGGAAAAAGTTCAGTAATATTTTATTAAAAAAATATTGTTCTGTTCTGGCAGAACTTAGGAGAAGATATTTTGGAAAAGATAGCCTGACATTTGGGGAAATAATTGCACATTTGAACGGAATAAATTGGTTACATCTATCCCATTATTGTAAAGTAGCCTGGCAATACAGATATGCCTTATGCCAAGAATTTAATTATTAACTGATGAATAATGTTTAAGCCAAAAAAATTATTTATGTGATTACATTAAAATACCTATATTAAAAATTTGAATGTATTTATATATTAAAATTTTATTTTGTATTTATAATTGATATTAAGATTTGATATATTTTGTTTCTGTATTTATTAGCATTTACATTGTATTTATTACCATTAACATAGTAGGTTTTAGTTTATATTATTATATCAATAATACTTATTTTGCCAAAGACAGCCTCCGGCTGATGGTTTTAAGAACCAAGCCGTAAATATTTTTTTATTGTTTGTTATTGTATAAATACTCAATAAAAAATTCATTCATTCATTCATAAAAGATAAACAAAGGAAACTATAATAACAGGAAAAGTCTCTGGGGGTACTTACACAGTTCTTAAGTATATTTTGTAATCAGTCAGATTGAGAAAGGAATAGCTGTTTAAAGAGGAGAGGTTTGAAAGGGAAAACTGATTGTGCATGTCGAATATCAGCAGGGATGGAATTCCAGAGGGTTGGGTTGCAAAGGATTTGTCAAACACAGCAGTTGTGAAGAGGATAGAGGTCGGAAGCACGAGATCTAGTAGGACGGGATTGGATGAAGTATTTAAATTTTAAGCTGTGAAATATATAGGAGGCTCGATGAGTTCTAATGACCTGGTACAGAAAGGTAGCTAGGAAGCACTGACGGCGATAGGATGGATAGAGCTACTTCAATTCTGTGTAATACTGGGTAATATGCGTATCTCTTGAGATTCCGAAAACAAAACGTAATGAGCAATTCATTAGGCCTTTAAGTTTGGCCTCGAAATCTCCTCAGAATCCTCCGTACACTATACAGCCATAGTCCATGTGGGGGAAAACAAGAGAGGAAACTAGGAGTTGACGGGACTTATATAGAAGGAGATAACGTAGACGATTAAACTGTTTTAGGGTAGAGATAGTGCAATGGGAAATTTGGGAGATGTGTGGTTTCCACGAGAGGGTTTGATCAAAAGTAACACCTAGGTTTTTAAAATTTGGGTTTCAAAAGTTAAAAAGGCATTTCTGGAAAATATGGCTGATTGTCAGAGAGCTGTTGTATTGGAATCTTGGTGGTGACTGTTGACTAATCAAATATGAGTTAGATATAAATGGCCTATTCTTAGTCTGGTTATATCAATATCTTCTTGTTGAATAAGGTGATTTGATGAGTAGTTTAAAAAGTTCCAAAAATATTTCAAGCTATATTATCAACCTCTTTTCTTATATAAACCTTTGGCCCAGAACACATTTATTTTAATTAGACATTATACATATACATATATATATATATATATATATATATATATATATATATATATATATATATATATATATATCTCTTTTTTTAATCTTTGGAAAGTCATTGTTCAAACTTATTTACTTATTTTAATTTTATACTTGTGTGATTCCAGGACTGATTGGAAAGAAATGTCCTTCAAAGCCAATCTGGACAACCTAATTATAACTGGAGACTACAATATTGCAGGAAAAGTTTTAGTCCTCCCAATTTCTGGAAATGGTGCTAGCAACATAACTATGAGTAAGTTTTTCAATCTAAGTTCTAAAATATTCTTAGAAGTTTACAAAAATATTTTATTTTTTGATAGATCTGAATGAATGAAAAAATTGTTGTAAAAAATCGGAAATATATGAGTTGCCTCATATCTGTAATTTTTATGAAGTTGAGAAAAAAAACAATTTTTGTATCATAGCTTATATTTAAACCAATTATAATGATTCAACTTCAACATTCTTAAATAAAAGTACCAGGAACAGTTTGAATCAGGGGTGCCCAGAATGGAGTTTCATTGCGCAAAAAATATTCTGAGGGCACATTTTGAATTTTTGAGGGGGCAAATTTCGACAGGGTTATGTATTTTTGAACTAAGGGACAGGGAAAAAACGTGGAACATACAGCAGCAAGTGTAATTGTATATGACCTACAATTTTTCTAATTTTACCTTAGCTTATTCTGTTTTTAAGAAAATATGAGCAATCTTTTTAAGAACGCTTAAGAAATACAAGTTCCATTACATTTATTGAAAAAAAAAAAACTGGTTTTGAAAATAATCTTATTGTCACACTTAAATCAAATAAAATTTCCCATTTTAAAATATTTCAAACAAAATCCAATAATAGCACTATAGGATCCATTGGGTGTTCTTACATGGGAATCGATACTTATCTCGATTTCTATGAAAATCGATTAGGGTTCACTTTAAAAATAAACGACTGATTAGGTATTATAACGCCTAGCTAGGAATCGTATAGCTAACCCTCGCAACAACAAAGTATTACATTAGGGATACTCGTGCAACCAGTGCTAAGTATTACTGAATAATTGATATCATCAATAAGAAAAATAAATATCGTGAAATAGTATTCAGTGATATAACAATTACAGGTTTGTATCTATTACTATTTCTTATCCACAGCTGTATAATCATCTAATCCATCCAGCCCAAAGTCCTTCGAACAATAGTCGATGCTCTTCTCTAAGTAACCAACAAAACCCTACACCATGAATTTAATATTCCATTTTTCCTTGACTTTATCCCAGAAAAATTCTCCAAATTTCACCAGAACCTTACCTATCATTCCCTTGCACAATCCCTATCTAGCACCAACCATCACTACAATCCTCCAAGAAGGTTAAAACGGCAGACTCCCCGCGACCTTTTATAGTTTGTATATATTGGAGTTCTGGAAATAGCCAAATTCTTCACTCACGACATGAGTGTACGTGGATAAAGCGCTCTCGCTCAATATCCACTGGGTTTGGCTCCAGTGACGCGGTTGAGAGAGTAGCGCAGGGATCTCTTGGAGTTATGCTTTTTCCATAACAGTTGGAGGGACAAGTCTGATTGTAAATAATGTATATAGGTATACATGTATTTTTTATTTTTATTTATATATTTTAAGTTATTTTATTTTAGTTGTTTGGCAATAATAACTTCCAATTGGTAACAATTGAGTATATTTTTATTATCAACGTTACTAAAAATTTTACGCTAAAATTTTTTAGCCTTACAAGAGTATTGGGATTGCAGTTCTGAAGATGGGAATAAATATCCCGAAACGTCAACTAACTTGTTAACATGTAACGTTGATAATAAAAATATACTCAATTGTTACCAATTGGAAGTTATTATTGCCAAACAACTAAAATAAATAGACAACTTCCCAGAAAAAAAAAGTTATTTTATTGTATACATATACCTAGTTCTACCATTAATACTGTTACAAAAGTTGAACTTTGTTTACATTCTTGGATATTATTTAAATAATCAGGTTATTTTCTTTGCAATTCAGGATAATAATCCCAATTAGTTTGTATTTTTCTTTCGCTCAGTTAACATGAATTGGAGTGATAAAGAAAGAAAGCCCTACACAAAGTTGGAAAATGTAGGTCTGAGATTTTCAACACTTTGAAACATTTTGGTATCAGCCGTATGTTCGTGTACTGTACAAAGGTCTGTGACAGACCTCGACCCCCTATGGACTGTATGGGCCGTCCTCGCACTGTCAGAACGGTAAATGCAGTGAGAGCAGTGGCTCCTCGAATCAAAAGCAATCCCATTCGAAAACAACAAATAATGTCTCGGGAAATGGTCATTTATGTCAGATCAATGTCTTGCACAATAAAACGTGAACTTAGGATGGGTGCATTTCTAAGACTAACAGGACAAAGGCTAACCACTTAACTATAAAAAATAAGAGTGGATAGATGCAAAGTGCTCCTCGGCCGTTAATCAGTGGTTTTCATCGAAAGATTTTATTTAGCGGTGAGAAAATGTTTACAATTGAAGAAAATTTAATAGCCAAAATTATCATGTTTACGCACACAGCTCTAAAGAAGTCATTGGAAGAGTAGAAAGAGGTTATCAGCCTTCCTCGGTGATGGTTTGGTGGGGCGTTTCCTTTGATGGCACCACAAAGCTCCATTTTTGTGAAAAGTGAGTTAAAACAGACGCTAAAAATTATCAGAAATATATTTTGGAACCTGTTGTCAAGCCTCTAAATGGCACTCCGTTTGCTGGAAGTCATTGGGTTTTCCAGCAGGATTTCGCTCCATCTCACAAGACCAGGTTACCCCAGCGGCTGCAAAAGAGCATTCCAGAGGAAGCCCTGATCTCAACCCACTAGATTATCAGCTTTGGTCCAAACTGGAGAGGATGGCATGCCACAGAGCACACCCTAACTTGGAAAACCTCTGGTCCGAGCATTTGAGTGCTTTCCTCAAGAAATGCTGCGTGCTGCTATTGATGACCGGCCATGGAGATTAAATGCCTGTGTCAAGGTAATAGGAGGACATTTTGAGTAATTTCTGTTTTGTTTTACTCTTTATAAAACCTGTACCACTAAAACCCATGAAGGATCTTGGATTCAGTACTATTTAGGGAAAGCACTGCTTCTAGGTCAGCAATTGTGCAAGGAGGTGCTTTGACCGTGATCACGCTCAACCGCCAGGTTTTCCCCCTTAATCAATTATTTAATTAGGGGTGCCCACTTTATAGAGGCTGGGTGTGCCCCAGGAGGGTCTACCGTCCCAGGGTCGCCTCACGGTCAATTAAACAGATAAATAAATTTTCTGCCATGAGCCGGGGTTCAAATCAAGCCAGGTTCGAACCCCGGTTACTCTTCATAGATATAAATTTTATTTTCTAACAAAGTTTTTGAAAAAGTTAATTTTTCTGTTGAAATCTGTATATATTTCCTTGTAACAATATTTATGACAGGACTAGGTATTATTTTACTGTTTAATTTATTTTTATTTATTGTACATAGTGTGTGAATATGACCTCTGAACATTATTATAAATCTCCTTTGAGACAGATTATAATATTTCTCAATAAACAAATTTAAAAAAAAAAAAAGCCGTATAATATGTGTATAAGTTCGATTAAAGTTATGTGATATAACCCAAATGGTGGATATAAGTCGGCTCTGGATAACTCTATAAATATAAGCATATACAAGTACTTTAATATCGGGAAAATTATTAGTAACTAGTCAAGAGATCGTTCGTCTTCGTACTCTTACGGATAAAGCCGGATGCAATCGGCATTACATGAACAAGTGTGACCGAAGTGATTATGAATCACGCGTAATCCGTGTGAAACTCTTGTGAACTTTTTTTTATTATTATTTATGAAATTTTCAACTTTACATTTAAAATACATTCAGCAAATGTTATACAGATAAATACACAACATGACAAGGCTGGTAGAGAATATACCCATTGGTAGCACTCTTATAAACTTTTTAAATTAGGAGATCATGAGGCCATCTTCCTTTCAGACGCCTAGGAGGATTATCAGGGATCGAGGAGGAAGCAAGGTTAGAGATGAGAGGATTCGGATGGTTCTGAAGTTTATCATGGAAGGATAGGTATTGAGCCAAATAGGAAACACATGGGACATTTAGTTCATTATGGATTATTTTATTTGTACAAAGTAAGGAGCATTAAGGATTTTGGATTGTAAAGATTGGATACGAGAGGAATTCGATGGTTTAGTGGAGCCCCTTAGCTCAACTCCGTAAGTCCAAATAGGTCTTATTATGGTCATGTATATGAGTCTTTTGTAATTAATTGAAAGGTCAGAGCGTTTGTCAAGTAAGTGCTGAAGTAATCGGAAACGAAGTAAACGTCGAGCGGTTTCTTGTCGTTTCAGTCTAGTATGAGGATTCCAGGTTAGACATTTGGCCAGGTGGAGTCCTAGGTATCTCTTGTGAACTAGTACAGAGTTTGTTTTTAATAACTTATTTTGCCTTTCAGTGTGACAGTCTGTATTAATACTCAATAAAATCATTGTAAATAAATAACTTATTGTTATAAGTTATTTCAGTTTCTGAGTGCATATTTCTTTAAATTTGAATCATTGTTTTAGCTGACACTGATGTAACTGCAAAGATGAAGCTTAAAGAATTCCAAAAGGGTGGAAAATCTTACTTCAAAGCTGAGACTTTCGAACTAGGCATCTTTCCAAAGAAGACGTTTTTCAATTTACAGAACCTTTTCAACGGAGACAAAGCCTTAGGTATTTATTTTATCATATTAATGAATATAAAAATAATTATTATGGTATGAAATAAAATGTATAATAATATATGAATCGTCATTTTAGGCGATAACATGAATTTGTTTCTGAACGAAAACCACGCTCAGATCGTGAACGAACTGAAACCAGCGATATCAAAGGCACTTTCTCAAGGTTTCCTCCAAGTCGCAAATCAAGTGTTTTCGAAAATCCCAACAAATGAAATCAAAATTGCTTAGTCAAAGATATTACGAGATATATCTTTTTCTCAAGAAATTTTATTAATTGTACAAATTAAATTATAACTTGTTGTTTAGAACGTTAGCTCTGTCAAATGGCAATCCCTTTGTACATAAATTATTAATAATTTTAATATATTCATAAGAAAATAATCATCTTCATCAAAAGAAAATAATGTTAGTAATACCATCTCAGGTATATTTGTAGTTAATTAATTCTGTGATGTCTATTTTATTTTTACATTATGTCCACGAATGTTACATTAAAAAACAAGAGGTATTTAAAAAAAAAATTGTAACTGATTCGGTCAGTTCAACTTTATTTTAATTTTATGTAAGTTTTTTTAATTTTAAATACCATAGTACCATAGTTGTATGAAATTACATCTTTATTATGTAATTAGAAAGATGTTTATTGAGTGTGTAAGCTCTAAATATGTATTTATTAAAAAAAAAATACTTTCAAACGAAAAATTGTATTTGTGTTTTATTCAATCATCCCTATATTAATTTTGTATAAGATATATATATATATATATATATATATATATATATATATATATATATATATATATATATATATATATTATTTATTAATTTTTCCCCGTGGGCCTTACAAACCTTGTGGATCTTTTGCCGCCTTAACAAGCCTGCTCAATCTCTGCCTGTCTTGGGCTATTTCTTTCCAGTTATCTGCTCGCAGCTCTATTGCATATTTATTGGTTATATCTATCCATCTGCTTTTTGGCCATCCACGTGGTCTTAGGCCTTTTATTGAGGCATTCAATGTTACATAGAGACTTTCAGGTGAATTGCTACGAGCTATATGACCAGCACATCTTAACCTCCGTGTCTTAATATCATGAGATATTGATTGACCAGCTTCTGTCAGCAGCTCTTTATAATGTGTTAGTAATCTGAACCCAGATCGTTCCGTTTACTTCTCTTATTGGGACTCGACATTTAGGATCATTTGTACACGCCTTAGTCAATCTCACCAGATAACCGAGGAGCTTCCAGTTAAAGTCGTTATTTTCCAAAGACAGTTCTTGGCCACAGAATCATTACTTTTGAGGATTCATAAGTTTGTACGGGCACTTTTGGATGAGAGGCACTTAATACGGGGGGATAGATAGGAATTTCTCAGATGCTTTCTGAGACCAAAATAGCACCTGTTGGCTTCCAGGACTCACAACTGACCAGGCACAAAAACTGACCGACGTTCTGGAACACGAATTGGCCCATCACCGCGAGCTATCGATTCGCTGTTTCTGCTCCAGGCCCAGCTCACATATAATTTTTCTTCTTCTGGTTTACACACTTCCTCGTAATCTCTGCCAACTTGAGAAAAGCTTCTTTTCTAAGGACGTATAAGTCTTTTTAAGGACTCAGAGGATCTTGCGGCAATATCCAAGTCATAAGCGAAGCCTAGTACCTGAACGAGACTGGTTGAAGATAATGTCAGAGGTCTGCATGCCCGAATATCCTTCTCCAGGACTTGGTTGAACAATCGGCAGGTGATCGCCCTGTCTAACACCTGTGTTATATACAAACTGTGGAGAGAGATCCGACTGAATCCTCATAGTACACTTTGTACCCATCCATAGTCATCCTCATCAGCCGAACCAACTTCAAAGGGACTTCAAGTTCTCTTAAGGAGTATACAACTTAGGCCTTTTAATGCTATCATAGCCACTCCTAAAGTTAACAAAGAAGCGGTGAATAGTCTCTCAAAGACGGAGGGTGTGTGGTACCTGTTATCTTCCTCACTTTTTCTTTCATGGGCCTATGGTTCTCTTGGGCCTTTTCTTTTACCTTCGTTGTCTGAAGGTACCTAATTACAGAGAAAAACGACGGTTTCAGATTTAGCTGAACTTTCACAATGCATGTGAATTTTGGTTTATTATTTTCAATAATGAACCATTGCAATCGAACAAAAAATTCAAAAACACCCTCTCAAAATTTGAGGTTTTACGTTTCAGGATACGTAGAATTCGTAAAAACTATTAACAATTTTTTTGTCCGTCCGCCGTCCGCGCATATTCTCTAAAACTGCTGGACCGATTTTTTTAAAATTTGGATTTAAAATCAGAGGTCACCCGAGGATGATCCTCCTTCATCGACATTACTATCCGCCTTTTACTTTCAAAATAATGGCCGAAAAACCTACGTTACTATTGACTAGCGCCTAAACGAATGTACCGGTTTCAATGAAACTTGATCAAAGTCTTCTTCTTCATGCCCTTCAAATTTATCTACGTTACATACTGCAACGAAAATAAGCTGAAAAAAAGTTACGAAGGATGGTAAAATAAGATTCCGAATAACTCAAAAAGTATACACTTTTTTGTTGATATTGTGATAAAATGTTTCTAAGATATTTAATCTTTTTAAAAAACGAAGAAACTATTAGGGTAGATATCGACATTTTAAATATCTTTGGTTTATTATTTTCAATCATGAACTATTGTAATGGGAATTTTTTGTCGTCACGTCTGCCGTCCGAACTTCTTTCCGCGCATGGTTTTTCAAAAGTTTACTGAATTTCCTAAATAAACAAAAAAAAAATTCTTAAAATCGGACAATTAGGAGCAAAGATATGGCCTCTAGATGTTTTTTATGTCCTACTGCAAATCCTTTGCTATGGATTTTGATTTTTGAATGTGTTACTGGAGTAATGCTTTTTTTTTTTTTATAGCAAATTTGTAATGATGAAAAAAAAATGTTTAGGGAAATAATTGGAATTAACTTTTTAATTAATCACAGAAAGGTAATATTACTTTAGATGTATAATTATTTGGTAATAATAAACCATTGTGAAATAATTTGCAGCGTTTTTCTATTTAAAAAATTAGAGTTAGAAGGAATTCTATATTCACTACACAGATAGTAGCGCATCTGCGGTCATTTAAATGATATCATTTTCAAGATGTTCAGGTTTTTTCCCGGAACAATTCTTTTGATACAATAAATACAAACGGTAAACCCTATTGGGTACCTAGACCATATTTTTTGTTTTATAGGGAATTTAGTTACCTTTCAAATAACTCTGGGTTCAATTGACCATGAAAGGTATTCTTTTTGAGTTATTCGAGAAGTTTCTTTTCCTTCATAACGTTTTTGCCTGAAATTTAGGGTATTTTATTTTATTTTTCCAACCTGAAGGAGAAGAAAATCTTCAAAATGGTGGCTCAATCATTGGATTTAGTGAAGAATTAACAAAGAAGTTGAGTTCTGACTAAAAAAACAACTGAAATCCGAAATAAATCAGTTTTAATATAAACTGACTAATACGTAAGATTAAAATCATTCTTTTTAAAACATAGAATGAACTAAATAATAAAAAAGAAACCCTTATTGTTTAACTCTGTTGGTTTTAAAAGCGTTTGAAACAGTGTAGTCTTTATTGAACGATTAAACTGTTATCGTTTTTTAAAATCAACAGAAACGCTTCCCTAATGTGCTTCTGTCTTGAGCTCTTGAAATTATTGTAAATTGTGTTATTTATTTACTCTTTTTCTTCCGCTTCGGAGTCGGCGCCTTGAAGCAAATTGCTTTAACTTTCCCACTTATCGATAATTGTTAGCAGACTACGCCGAAGCCAAAGAGCTATTTTTTAAGCATGGCCATTTGTAAACATGGGCCATTATTTCAGTTTTTTTTTCTTTTATCCTAGCCTCAATGATGATTTGTTGAAATTTTCATAATTTAACTTTGTGGGATGGAATCCCTTGTACAACGAAGATCACAGGTGGATCTACGGAGGGGAAGGGGAACTTTCGGGCTGAAGCCCCCCCTAAAATGGTAAAATATAACTATTTTCTACAGAAATAATATTAAAAACTATCTCTTAAATTATTCTTGTTCTTGTAATTATATTTAATAGGACTTCAAGAACCACTTAAACACCATTTTATACAGGTAATTAATTATTTTCTTTTTTTCTAATTACTTATCGTTATATGTATATGAAAAAAAAAAATCTTTCGGGCTGAAGCCTCTCCCAAAATTAAATCCTGGATCCGCTATTGGCCTTAATGACCTAGCGTAAAACATTGATTAAATTTCAAGTATTATTTTAATTTTATTTTTTTGAGACTTATTTTAAATTAATTTTGATTACTTTTTATTTTTAAAAAGTAATAATAGATAGATAGTTTATTTTATTTGTCTAAGGAAATTCCTGTACAAATAAATATAATGGTATAATTAACAATGTTAGATCTTGAGTCTAGTACTGCATTCAAACATAACATTAACAATGTCCACAGCGTTAAGTATGACTAATATAATAACAGATTAGTAAACGATATATATATACATATATACATAACAATTAGTAAAACATTTTTTTTTTTAAATATTCGAGAGGTATAAGACAAATGACAATATAAATAAGCATTAATATATGTTATATGATTAACTTTACCACTTAACAGTCCAATGAACAGCCCTGTATGAAATAATACAGTTGGTTTATTTATTTCGTAGTGTCTATTTTCAGTATCTCCTCCACACTAGCATCTTCCCTGGATTCAGTGATAAATGCCTTCAAGTACTTATTTCTTGGCTCCTTGAACTTGATACATTGGATCAGAAAATGAGTTACCGGGTCAGTTACAAGGCAGTTGCATGCATCACATACCTCACTGGATTTAATAGTCAAAGTAGCATCTTTTAAGTATATTTTCATAAAATCTTTACTTTAAATGTAATAATATAATTTAGTAATAATAAATTAATTTGATGGTAGAACTTCAAGATTTTTATATTGCCTCATTCAAATATCTAAAAGTCATAAAATATATTAAACTATAAGGCAAGCTATAAATTAATACATAATGATGTTTTATATGCTTCAGAGACCCTTACAAGTATTTAGGAGAAATTACTATATTTGAAAGAAAAATCTTTGGTTGAATATTTGTACCAGGAAGGTTTGGAAAGTACTACAGGTGAAGGATGAATAGGGAAATTAAAAAATTGTATGACAACGCTGACATAATGGGGATTATTAAAAAAAAAAAAAAAAAGGCTGTACCACAACAATCCATGAAGGATCTTTGGGTTCAGTACTATTTAGGAAAAATGCTGTTTCAAAGCCAACGGTTGTGCAGGGCAGGGCAGGATTACGCTAAACCTCCAGGTTTTCCCTCTTAATTAATTATTTAATTAAGAGTACCCACTTTGTAGAGGCTGGGTGTGGTCTAGGAGGGTCTCCCTACCCCAGGATCGCCCCACAGCTAATGAAACAGAATAAATATTTTTTCTGCCATGAGCCGGGATTCGAACCTGGGACCTTCAGCATTGGAAGCTGGGTGGCCTACCACTGAGCTACTCCACTCCCTCTAATGGGGATTATTAGATTG